TTGCTGATCTCTGCATTTCTGAAGTAGGACAGTTAAGCTATAAAGTGCTTCTCTTGTGCCAAATCCTTGTCTGAAACCGAACTGTGTGGGGTTAATGCCTCTTTCACATCTGTTGTATCTTTTTGTGTGAATTATCTTTAAGAAGAGTTTTAGGACCTAGCTCAATAAGCTGATCATTCGGAAATGGTCGCAACTATTAGCGTTTGGCTTTTATGGGATTGGTATAAAGGTTGATTGAAGCCAATCCTGTGGTATTTGACCAGACCCATAAATGTAATTAAAACGATTTATCAGGGCGTCTATATTGTCTTCACTCAATATGGTTAGAACCTCTATGTATATGTCGTCTGGGCCTAGTGCTTTTCCCCATTTGCTTTGTATGATTGCCTTCGTCAAGATCTACTGTAAGTAATTTCATCTACAACTATCTGGGCGATGTATATAATATAATATTAGTTTTTAAAATATATATTTTTTCCCCCCCCCAATATAATATTTTTTTTGTGTCCCCCCCCTTTTCTAATATCTCTTATCCCATCTTTACCTATTTCTTCCGTTGGATCCATTCCCGGTTCCAAAAGCTAGTTTCGAACCCACGACTCGCTCTCCACCAACCATCTGGCTGCCGTCCGCAGTGTCTCCATTGGTTATCTTTCTAGCACCACCCAAAAAGATTTCCGAGGTTACAATATAAAGCATAGGAAGACATCTTTTTGCTGATCTCTGCATTTCTGAAGTAGGACAGTTAAGCTATAAAGTGCTTCTCTTGTGCCAAATCCTTGTCTGAAACCGAACTGTGTGAGGTTAATGCCTCCTTCACATCTGTTGTATCTTCTTGTGTGAATTATCTTTAAGAAGAGTTTTAGGACCTGGCTCAATAAGCTGAACAGTCGGAAATGGTCGCAACTATTAGCGTTTGGCTTTTTTGGGATTGGTATAAAGGTTGATTGAAGCCAATCCTGTGGTATTTGACCAGACCCATAAATGTAATTAAAACGATTTATCAGGGCGTCTATATTGTCTTCACTCAACATGGTTAGAACTTCTATGTATATGTCGTCTGGGCCTAGTGCTTTTCCCCATTTGCTTTGTATGATTGCCCTTATAACTTCTGACTTCAATATTTTGGGGGAAGGTTCACTTTTATATTCAGTTTCAGAGTTTCTTCTAGTGTTGTCTGAGTGTAGTTGCTGTGTGTAGTTTCTCCAATGTTACAGTAGATCCTTGGGGTCAGTAATTAATTTATTGTTCTTCACAACTCTGTTAAAACTGCAAGGTTTTGTAAGTTTATGTATGTTAAAGTGGTGATGTTTTTATTCCAATTCCTCCATTTCTGTACACCTGTCTAGTAGCCACTGTTCTTTAGCCTTGCGATATTCTTTTCGTATTTGTCGGTTAATCTGCTGATGTTTGGTTCGGTCTTTGTTTTTAAATGATCTGCGCTCGACCGTCATTGATAATATTTCATCAGTCATCCAATTATTCTTTTTGTACTTTTGGGAAGCGATCAGAGACTTGTTGGTGGTTATGATAGCTTTTTTAATACAATTCCATTTGTCTTCATACTGGCGGTGGTTAGATCTGCCGTGATATCCCCATACCTCATTTAATTTTTCTGTGACTTTTAGTTTACGTTAGGTTGTTTTAAGCTGTTAATATCAATTTTCTCAGATTACTTTTACATGTTTTAAATGTATGTTTTTAATAAACAAATTGCTCTTTCGATTAATCTTGGTTCCGATTAGATATTTACACAGGAAATAAACACGAATCATTCCGTTTATGCTTATACTGATTTTTGAGGATGATGTCGCTTCGCGATAGGGCGCTGTAACAGGTGAGTGTTTTTATTGTGGAAGTCGGAATTTCGTCAACGGGGCTTCGATGTTGTCCGTTATCGTAGAGTTTAAAAAAACCGGTAAAGTTTTTCCTTAATTCCATGAGTTTTGGTGAGAAAAGGGTGATTTGAGCACAAAATGATAAGTGGTCTTTGTAAATTGAGTTAATCAACGTTTGTTGTAAGCTGTATTCTGTGACAGGGGATTTAAAACATCGTCTGAGGGCTAGGTAAGCCGGCATGGTTTTAAGTGGAAAATAAGCAGCCGAATTTGAAAAATCACATATTGTTTTCATCCAGGATAACCTGAAGTCCAGATTTGCTATTTCATTTGATTTCTCCCAGAATTTATCCAGCATCAATTTTGTTAAAGCTTAGAAATCTTCTTGTTTAGTATTTGCCCAGGACATATCTGTAAATATTTTTTTATTTCTTTTTGTAGTTAGTTCTCCCAGCACCCCTTATCCACGACCTTGCTCTCCAACCAAAACACAAGTAGCTATTCGCAAACGTATCAATTTTTTTACGTACTCCGTCTCCAAGCCCATTGATTGTTCAGTCCTCCCTTTTAGCCCTCCATGAGCCAAAATATTATTGTTACAAAATTACGGCAAAGTTTCCATTATTACTTGAACATGGTAACACTCGACTTAGAGGGAAACAACAAAAACTGATAATATTGAAAATTAAAACTAGAAAACTATAGTATCTGGGACATTTTACGGGTGGAGATAAATACCAACTGATACAGATGATTACACAACGAACCCAGCGCATTATAGGGAAGAGAAGGATGTCTTGATGACTTCGATGACCTCGAAATGATATATGAATAAAATAATGGCTGTTTTTTAGAGGTATGGAAATGTAAGTTTGCAACACCTTTTTTAACTGGCGGCATTTTGACAGCAGTCCAGTGATTTATGTTTAGTTTGGTTTGGAATTTCAGCATGAATAGACTGATGCTTGAACAATGCTTCCAAATTGTGTATATTTATTTTGAAACACATGGTTCTGTTCGAAATACGTATCGCGCACTACATCCATTTTATGGTCAACATAATCGTCCATCAGAGCAATTAATTCGATTTACTATGGAATATTTTCACACCATGTTTACTCTAAATGATAATACGTATTCACAGAAATGTCGCACAGTGAGTACAAAAGAAATTGTTGCTGATGTAGAGCGTAGTATATAGGAAGACCTGAATCAGTTTATCAGATTTTGCGGATAGATCTTGGTTTGCGTGCTTAAAAAAATCCATCTCGTACAGCTTCTGTGAATGGGAGCAAAACAAGATTGCCGTTGATCCTGATTTTCATAAGCGATTTTTGTTTAGAGATAAAGCTTACTTTTGGTTAAATGACTATGTCAACAAACAAAACTGCTGTATTTGGGAGTGAAGATAATCCTTTAAGTGTATGTTGAGATATTATTACATCCAGAAAAAATAACTCTTTGGTATGCTTTGTGGGCTGATGACTTCCTTCTTCCAGTTTCTCTTTTACTTCTTCAAAAACGATGCTGGTCAGAACGTTAAAGTCAATGGTGACCGCTATAGAGCCATGATTACTGACTTTTTCATTCCTTAATTAAAAAACCATGATCTACAGGAGCTGTGGGTTCAACAAGACGGCGTAGCATGTCACACAGCTGGTGCCACTAATGATTGATTAAAAGAAACGTTTCGCACGATCCAAGATCGTGCGATTTAACATGGTCAGACTATTTTCTGTAGGAATATCCGAAGTCGTTAGCCTACGCTATTAAGCCTAAAACTATTGACCACTTGGAAAACAGAATTGCCATGTACGGCCGCAAATGTTGGAAAAAGTCATCGAAAATTAGACATCTAGATTAGACTACGTCAGAGCTAGCCGTGATGATCATAAATCATTAAGTCATTAAGTTATAATGCCAAAAGATTATCTTTTAAATAAAGTCAATTTCATGTCAATTTAAAAAAGTCATCTTTGATGTATTCCATTTCAAAGTTCTATACCTCTAAAAAACACCCTTTATATGATTCATATCTCAATCAACAGTTTTTAGAGTCGAATTAAGTAATAGATACAAGTGTTGGTAAGAAATGGTGGTGATATAATTGCTGATATATAAATACAAGAGACAATTCTAAGAACAAGTGATCATATGTCAGTATAATTTATAGTTGATAGAGAACTGCTGAACGTAGTGTGTGTCTACCACTCAAGTTGTCTTTGGCGAAAAAAAAACGAAAAGATTTCAATCCTCAATTAGAACACATACCTAGATATATTCTAACGGGGGAAAGGGACAACAGAGACTAGTGCTATAACAAAACAGCAATATAAGTTGCTGCTACTGGAAAATAAAGTTAGATGCATCAATCTTAATAAAGTTTTGAAGGAAAATGGTCAGTATTATTAAGTATTTATACCGCAAATGGAATACTTGAAAAAGAAAATAAATTTGATAATAATAAAACTATCTATCAGTGGTTGTCATAACAGATGTACATGGGTCAGATATCTGCTCATAGAACTCAGAGTCATAACAGGTTTCCTTACTGGACATGCGTCAGTTAGGGACACCTGCATACAATGGGACTGTTTCATAGAGACTCCAACTGCAGACTCTGTAGTAGAAAAACTGAAACAGTCAACCATATCTTTCATGACTTCGAGGCATTGAATTGCAGGCGACAAACCCTTTGTGGAGACAACGAAGTGACTCCAAGTATATGTGGTACCCATCCACTAGACCCGTATAAACTAGAAAAAGGTATTAGAATTCTGAAATGGGTATCATAAAAAAATGGAAGATGTAGAATAAGTAAATTGGCTGCAGTACGACCGATTCATCACAGACAGATTCCAGAAAAAAATCTGTCAGCGGTCAAATAAATCTGAGGAAGCTAGAAGCTAAAGTAAAATCTTATAAACATCGTTGTTAAATATAATACATTATGTATCTTTTATTGGTCACATTACTTAAATTGATCTCTAAAATTTAACATTGTCCTAAACTTTTCCTAACAACGAAAAATTTTACCTTCCTAAAAATTTTCCTATGCAGTTCCTCCCAAATTGGTCATAAAGGATAATAGAAAAACAATTGAAGAATAATGTTTTTATTCATTTTTACAAATTAACAAACAATATAGAATACAATCATAGACGGACATTTAAAAATAATCATTATTACAAAATATCAAAGTGATGAGTATATGAATTACTTATAATTACAATTATATTAAAACCTCATCAAAATGTATTAAAATTTACCAAAATATTTTTTAGTAGGGTCATAATTAACATAAATATTTTGTAAGAGTATCCGTGTTAATATTATTGTAGAGATATTATACAGTATATACAAAAAGTAAGGTATTACGAAATCTATAGCAAAGGATACATTTTGAGAACCAGAAAGGAAAGAAGTCCAAGTTCATTCACTGATTTATTTAAAAGAAATAGGAGGATTGTGATTTGGTCATTATTTCAAATAGCCATAAAAACGAAAAAAAATTGTTATTTTTTGCCAATATTCTTTTAGAAAACTGCTGGCAAAAAAGAATAATTAAATCGGAAACCTCAAAAAAGGTCATAGAAAAGTAGTTTCATAAGCACGAGTATGCAATGGTTACCGTCATAGGTGCCAACTCGGATGAAAACGATATTTACGGTCGAGAAATGTTAAAAAAATCCTTGGATTTCGTCTAATAGATCATTTATTACACAGTTGTTATTGCATAGTCTTAAGTAATACTTTTTAATAAATTTTAATATAGGTACGTAAATTACGATCACACAATAAACGTCAAAGGTTCCCGATAAACTTGGGGTTCAAAAAGAAAACCATATATCAGTCTTGAAATAATTCAACGTAGGTAGCCGGAAAGATTCCAACGCTTCCATTACATTCTCCTAACCACCAACCGTCATCTTGTTGACGGTACACTGTGATAATATCTCCAGCTTTTATCAGCAGCTCATCGTTCATATTGGGGGTGTAAGCGTAAATGGCTCTGCAGGTGGCTATGGGATTAACAGGTGGATCATCTGCGATACACAAGTTGTCACCAGTACTGCTGCATTGTGACGAAAATTCATCTATAGAAGAAAAAAAGAATTAGTTAGTTTTTTACTATATATACAGTCAGGGTTTTTAGCGAATTAAGCAGCCTCGGTTCCCAGTTTTTTCTCCCAATCTCTTTTATTTAGAGACTGTACCTTACCAGATCTCTTTTGGGCCTTAACTTTTCCTTCTTCCTTTCAGTTTATTATTCGATATAATACTCGGTCTTGACCTTTGCTGATTACGTCTGTACCAAATGATCTATATCATTAATAACAATGATTTCGTCGTTTTTCTGAGGGCTTCGATTTTAATATTTTCTACCTTCTGATAATTTTTTGAGAAAGTCCATTTCTGTTGAAAGTAGTTTGTTTCTTATTTTACAATTTCCGCATAAATTGCAACTTTGTTTTATTTCTTATGTCTTTACCAAAGGACTGACTTGAATGCTCTTATGATTATTCGAGCAGTCATATCTACTATGTTCACTATGATGTGTTTACATAAGTAAATTAATTTTTATAGGATTTTAGTGTATATCCATTTTATCAACTTTTTAGGCAGATATATTTAGGTTTAATCAGATTAATTGTTAGTCTACATTTGATGGTATCTGACTTCCAAGTATTTTCTTTTCTTTTAAAATAGTTTCGAATAAATTTCTGTATTTCCAATTCTTCTTTTTCTTCACGTGTCATATCAAGTTATTTGACGTTGGCGATCACCATTGAGAAGGCTTCTCGATCTTCTTCCACATAGAATAATTGTCCTTCATTTATTATCTGAGTAAATCCACGAATTTTTTTAACCAAAAAACCTGTTTTCTTTCTGCACCTCTACGGCCTTCTATTTTAAGGATCAGTTGTAATATTCTATATCGATTTCCTTTTACTATATGTCTCAGATAAGACATTTTACGGTGTGTAACAGTCTTTAGCAATTCTCATCTATCTTTGTTGACTCTCCTTAGTACTTCCTCATTAGTTTCTCTTGCTCTCCAAGGTATCTTCAGCATTCGTCTATGAATTCACATTCGCAATGCTTTGATTTTGTTCACACTTGATACTTTTAGTGTCCAGACTTCTGCTTCATACAAAAGTACAGACCAAATATAGCACTTGACCATTCTTTTTCTTAAATGTAAACTCCGATGATTATTGCAAAGAAATGTTTTCATTATTATAAAAATAGTTTTAGTCATTGCTATTGTTCATTTTATTTCTATGTCTGGATCTACTTGGTTCGATATGACAGTTCCCAAATATGTAATTTTATGAACTTTTTAACTTGAACTCCATTTACTTAAACATGAACTATGAAGGAATGGTTTTCAATAGACCTTCAATATTTTTTGAAAAAATTTTTATATTGTCTGCTTATCTAATTACATTAAGGAGTTCCCCGTTAATTTTGATTCTATATGTCTGTCTGTCAAGTGCCTTTTTAAATAACTGGTCCGAATAAACATTGAACAACGTTGAGAACAAAATGCAACTTTGTCTGACTCCTTGTAGTATGGAGATTTCGTCGGTGTAAATGTCTCCAATTTTTAAAATATCAGTTTGATTTCACTACAGATTTTTAATGACACGAATATCTTTGTCATCTGTTCCTATATTTTTTAGCATCTGCATTAATTTTACATGTTGTCCTTTAAGTCAACGAAACATTTAAATACATCTTTTCTATGATCACGGCATTTTTGTAATAGGATATTTAGCGTAAAAAGTGTCTCCCTAGTTCCCATAACATTCTAAAACCAAATTTCGTAAATTTGAGATATTCTTCGCATTTGAGTCTAATTCTGTTGTGGAGTATTCTTAGAAAAGATGTATTGCAACAAAGATGGACTCAAGCCAGTCTGCTGTAATCACTCCAGTGTTATATATTGCATTAAAAGGTTTTACTAGTATTTTTATGTTATCTTTATCTATTTTATATTATTTTTATCTATATTTATTACATCTATCTTTATCTATATTTATTTTACTACTTTTCTAATTTAAACATTTTTTAAAGCGTGTTGTACTTTTGATTTTATAATTTCTGGGCCGTCGGTACAATTTTGGTAGGATTCGGTAATATTATTTCTGTCATCTTCAAACAACTCTGATATTATCAAACAACAATCTTGTTTACAAAAATTGTGTTGTAAGTTTTAACTAGTACAGAGGGAGGAACTTGTTTTTTAAATATGTTGCTTATTTCATTTACTATTTTGTGCACATTAAAAAATTCGTGCCTAGAATCACATCCTCAATTTCCTAGCACCTTTCTATAATCCATTTTTCTTTGGCTAATTTTATCTCTCTTTTAATTCTTCTCTGTAGATGTCTATATTCTGTTTTCTTCGATTTTATAAATCCATGCTGTTCCATCAATTTCAAAATGTCTTCTGGCATCTAATGATTTTTCTTAGTTAAATTACTTCTGTATTCATTGTTTGTGGAGATTTTGTTAACTTGGTTTTTAAATTCTTTCCATCGTTCGATAGTTCGATGCGATGTTCTTTATTCTATTGTTGAATTCTTTTTTAATGTTTTATTTTATGCTTATATGGTCAAAATTGATTATATTGGTTTTTGGTATTTGTCGTTGGATTCGTTTTAACCTTAGTTTACTATCCACCACAAGGAATTGGTGATCCGATCCAATATCTGCTCTTGGAAATGTAGTGACTTTGTTGACGTCATTTCGGTATTTCCAATTACAATAGTTTAATTATGTTTCTTTTATGAACTCATTATGTCTATATAATTTTGATGATCTGTCCAACTCAATTAGAGGAAGGTTTTTTGTTTCTTAGTATTTTTAGCTTAACATCCAATAAAATTTAACTTACCAAAGTCAGAATCTGGCTGATTCGAATTGCCATCTGCAGATCCTCTGACTAACCAATCCGAATCATCTACGTCATTATTGTGGGGGTCAGAGTTATCTGATTGGTTCGACCGTGTCGATTTCTGGCTAACAGGACTCTTATCTGTTTCACACCATTCGTCTCGCAACCATTGAGGAACCTAAGAAATACGAAACTTTGTAAAAAAATTAAAGGATAACTTTTCTAAAACTAAATGATATATGTATAAGAAAATTCTTTGTTTAGTTAGTTTAGCAACCAGAGATAGATAGTATTTGTAAGTTCACCATCAAGTTCGGATGATATGGTAACGGAAGCTAAACTCGTTAAATTAAACTCGGCATTATACTATAACGATTTTCTTATGCGTTTTTTGTACTGGCAAGTTGCTTCTGTTTCATAGTTCAGTTTTAAGTTTCTTTTATTTTTATTTGTTTTGAAGTATCTTCTATTTATTCTTTGAATGCTAGTAATATTGTATTGTTAAAAATAATATGATATAAATTACATACAATTACATTTTTCTTTACAGAAGATTCTGGAAAACTTTATTTATATGAACCTTATGATTCGATTTCGCATCACCACTATCACTTATATTTGATGCATCATCAATCCGCCTCTTGTAAATCGATTTACTTACAAATCGAAATTCTTTGATTATGATTATTTAATTTGATATTGTCTGACAATACTCTCCATTTAACTATTGAACAAGTTGATAACCGAAAGAAATTTAAATACTTAAGTAAGAAAACTGTATCCTATTTGGAGTTATAAAAGAAACCGACCAAATAGTACAATATGACAAATAATAAAATCATGAATATAATCTATTACTAATATATATAATCACCGGATGAAAGATACCGTATCAGAGAGGAGGAAGCAAAAATATTGAAAAACAAAACAGGGGAAAGACTAGAACGGACATGGGATGACGTAATCGGTATATATATATATATATATATATATATATATATATATATATATATATATATATATATATATATATATATATATATGTATATTATCAAAAGCTGCCATCGCTTTATTGAATCAAATGACCAAATTTATGGCCTAGGAGGACAAATTCGTTAAACTTGCCGTGCCTATCCCAGCCTCATCAGACACTTGAGCTGATACAAATTCAAACTCGGAAAGTCCAACGAATATCTCCCATAACTCACTACAACAGTAGTTAGCGTACAAAGGCGCCACCTGCTTTGGCGGCCGTGAACGAAAACGATATGATAGTATCGTTTTCTGTATCCTCTGCGCTATGCGAAATGTGTAAACGATTAAATCTTTTAGCAAAAGCAGCACGGGAAGTTGAATAAAATTTGTCCTCCTAGGCCGTATATTTAGCCATTTAATTCAATAAAGCGATAGCAGTTTTTGCTAAAAGATTTAATCTTTTACACATTTCGCATAGCGCGGGGGATACAAAAAACGATATTATCATATCAGTTTCGTTCACGGTCGTCAAAGCAGGTGGCGCCTTTGTACGCTAACTACTGTTGTAGTGAAGTGATGGGAGATATTCGTTGGACTTTCCGAGTTTAAATTTGTATCAGCCCAAGTGTCTGATGAGGCTGGGTTAGGCCGAAATGATCATAACACTTTATTGATAACGATTCGAGCACGGGAAGTTTAACGAATTTGTCCTCCTAGGCCATATATTTAGCCATTTAATTCATATATATATATATATATATATATATATATATATATATATATATATACATAATATAAGATTAATACTATTACACGAACTAAACTCAACAGTCTTCCGGGTTGAGCACCGTCGATTATCATTATGCCGAGCATTCGACATCCTCTTTGATGTCTTCTTCAGGGCTTCCGAGGCCTCAGTCTCCCAAGCTCAAAGAAACTACTACACTGATCACTAACCAATGCGTTACTGAAACTGGAAATATTTATACCATCGATTGTGACGTGTTTTGGATTGAGGTTGGCGTGAAAGAGAGCGAGGGGATGGGCGCGGAGATTGGCGCGGTGGTTGGTGCGAACATTTCTGACAGTAGGATTTTGACTCACGAGTGGAGCGAACTATCATTTTTTTATGAGAAAATATATTTTCTTTACAAGAGGTCTCCATGTCGAAGGTAACTGTATGCCGTCACCTCTTTTATTGAGACAATTTGGCGTTTTTTAAATTTCTATGGCTTCTTGAATAATTCTTGGTTTATAGAAGCGGGTTAAGGTTATGGTTTCAGAGTTTTTAAAACCAATTTTGTGACCTGTATGAAGATGGTGTTGACCTAGAGCTAAAATTGAATCGGAATTGCAAACAAAAATGGAATGTTTATAAATCCTATTTTGGGTTCTACGATGAGTTTGGCCCATATAGGATAGGGGCAGTCTGCACAAGAAATTTCATAGACTCCGTGTTTTGTTCATTTCGAATGTTGTCTTTAATTGATCGGATAAGAGATGAACGTTTTTGTTGGGGGGTAAATTTTGTCCTTATTCCTCTTGATTTAAGAATTTTGTCGATTTTGTCGATTTTGTCAGTGACATCAAAGGTGTCCCCTTACATCCCTTACCCTTACATCAAAGGTCATTCTTTCAATGTACGCCCTATATTATGGAATAGTTTTGACCGTAACAACACACAGGCAGCCCTAAACACTGTCGAATCTAAGACTGAAACACTGACTGAAGTGAGAACGCCACTTCAGCGTTAGCAGGGGTGCTAGTAGTTGAGGTTACTCTGTTACCCCAAGTTACATTCAATTTGAGACAATCATTTGTCAAACTGAAGAAGCTATTTCCAGTTAACCTTCCAAAGATGCTGAAATAACTAGATAAGACATTGCTACAGTTCTTATAAACTCAAAACCTTCAATTTCAAATATTAGCAAAACCGAGAAAAATGCCCTGAAACAACTTTAGTTAAATCTAAATCTAGTCATTGTTAATGCCGATAAAGGAAATGCCACCGTTATCCTAAACACTTCTTCTTACATTAATAAACTTTAAATTTTTTTTAATTGCCGAAAATGCTTCATTCTTCGTCAAAAATTCTTTCCATTTTATTGAACTTCTTAAACAATACCCTATCTCACCGTCAGACATTTTAGTAAGTTTTGATACTGTTTCATTCTTTACAAACATTCCTGACGAAACTCTAAACATTCTGAAAACTAATTACAGTAACCAACAAGACTACTTATCTCTTATTAAACATTGTATGTCCAACACTTTTCCCCAAACTATGTCGAATTTAAAACAAAAAGGAAATGTACCCCAGGTGGGTAGGAGAAATCCGGAATCCCACATCGGGAAACCGATCAGCCTCACGAATTCTGGGGGAGGCAAAAGCTCGACAAGAACAAATAAGAGAAAACCGAAACTGAAAGAACCCAACAAAATACACATAGCGACATATAACATCAGATCCATGGCTCAAGATGAAAAACTGTACGAACTCGAAGAGGAATTAACTAAAATCAAATGGGACATTGTAGGGTTGTCAGAGGTCAAAAGAAGAGGAGAAATGTGTCTAGAACTAGAATCAGGAAATCGCCTATATTACAAAGGAAAGGAGGAAGAAAACATACGGAGGAATAGGATTCCTGATCAAGAAGAAAATTAAACAAAACGTAATCGAGTATAAGAGCATATCAGATAGAGTAGGATACATAATACTAGAAATTAACAGGAAGACAAGAATGAAACTAATACAAGTATATGCCCCAACAACAACACACGAGGAGGAAGAAATTGACAAATTTTATGAGGATATCACCACAGCAATGGAAGACAAAAACATAAAAACAACGATCATTATGGGAGATTTTAACGCAAAAATCGGAAAGAAAATGGAAGAGTCAGAAAACAAAATAGGAAACTATGGACTTGGAACAAGGAATAGTAGGGGTGAGAAACTACTAGAATACTTAGAACAACAAAACCTTCATGCAATAAACACATACTTTAATAAGAAGCCAAACAGAAAATGGACATGGGTCTCCCCAAATGGGGTGACAAAAAATGAAATAGATTACTTCCTCTGCCAAAATACAAAAATCTTCGAAGACGTAACTGCACTTAATAAATTCTCAACTGGCAGCGACCACCGCATACTACGAGCCAAAATAGAAATAAACAAACTACAGATGCAGAAAGCCGGAAGAAAACCAACGGCTATTGACCATAGCAGAATAAAACAAAACGCAGAAGAATATAGACAAGCTTTAAGGGAAAACTATAAACACCAATTAGGAAAGGAAGAGTCGGAAATTAATAAAATTAATAAAGAAATGAAAGAAAAACTCTTAGAAGCGGGAATGAAAACCGCCAAAAAACTAAGAACCAAAGAAAATAGATTAAGTAGCAGGACACTTCAATTAATGGAAAACAGACGAAAACTAATAAGCGAAAACAAAAGAAACACAGTAGAATACGTAGAACTAAACAAACTAATTAGGAGAAAAGCAAGAGAAGATCTGAGAACATACACTGAAAATGAAATTGAGAAAGTAATTGAGAGAAACAAGGGCCTAAAATGTTTACGACCAAATTTAGGGAAGCCTCTACTCATTTCAATAAAGGATGAAACAGGAAGGGAAGAAAGGAGAAAAGATAAGATATCGGAAGAAGTAGAAAGATTTTATAAAGAGCTATACACCTCAAAGAAAGACGCAAACGTAAACACACAAGAATATATTAAAAAAACAATCACTAATGTAAACTCAGAAACACTGCCAAAAATAGAAAATTATGAAATAGAGGTAGCATTATTACAATTAAAGAACAATAAAGCACCGGGACCGGATGGAATCCTTGCTGAAATGCTGAAAGAAGGGAAAGAAGAAATCTTGCAAACACTGCGAAATCTATTTAACCAGTGTCTACATAGAGGAGAAATACCCGACGAATGGAACGAAAGTCTTACAATCCTGCTATTTAAAAAAGGAGACAAAAAGGACATAAAAAATTACAGACCCATCTCACTGCTGTCGCAAACGTACAAATTATTCATGAGGATTATCAACAACAGGCTAGCACACAAACTTGACTCATATCAACCAGTAGAGCAGGCAGGATTCAGAAAAGGATATAGCACCACTGACCATCTTTTAACAATTAGGACACTGATAGAGAAAGCTAACGAATATCATTTAGATCTGCATTTAGCATTCGTTGACTATGAGAAAGCTTTTGATAGTGTGGAAATGTGGGCAATAGAAAGAGCTATAAACAACTGTAGAATAGATTCCAGATACAGAATGCTAATACACAATATATATAAGAAAGCAACAATGACAGTACAATTGGAAGAAAACACAAAACCTATACCAATTAACAGAGGAGTGCGACAGGGCGATGTTATTTCTCCTAAATTATTTACATTAGCACTGGAAGATGTTTTCAAAACAATGGAATGGACAAACATGGGAATAAACATAAATGGAAAGAAACTAAACCATCTAAGATATGCAGACGATGTAGTAATAATAACATCAAGTTTTGAAGAACTACAAACTATGCTAACCGAACTAGCCAAGGAATCTGAACAAATAGGCCTAAAAATGAATCTTACCAAAACGAAAACAATGACAAACACACAAGATAATAGAAACGTAATACTAAATGGAATCACAATAGAAGCGGTTAATGATTATATATATTTGAGACAGATAATAAAAATAAATAAGGAAAACCAAACAGCGGAGGTAAAAAGAAGAGTCAGATTAGCCTGGGCAGGATTTGGGAAATTAAAATGGGTCCTAAAGAATAAGAAAATACAACAGTACTTAAAAACAAGAGTGTTTGACCAGTGCATACTCCCAATTCTCACATACGCATGCCAAACATGGACTCTGACCAAAGCAAACATGGATAAGATAGTGAAGACACAAAGAGCCATGGAGAGAGCAATGTTGGGAGTAAAATTAAAAGACAAGAAGCAAAACATCTGGATAAGAAACAAAACAAAAGTCAAAGACGCAGGTCAACATATAGCCAGGCTAAAATGGAGTTTCGCAGGTCATAACGCCAGACAAACAGACAATAGGTGGAACAACACGATACAACATTGGAGACCATGGACAGGAAAGAGAGCAAGAGGACGACCCCAGATGAGATGGGGAGATGACATTAGAAAGATAGGAGGAATACACTGGAAACAGAAAGCACAAAACAGAAGCGAATGGAGGAAACTGGGGGAAGCCTATGTTCAAAATTGGACGAATTAAAGGGCAAAAGAAGAAGAAGAAGAATGTCCAACACTTATTTCATCTTCCAAAATAAATTACACAGACAAATAAATGGTGCCCTTATGGGCTCCCCACTATCTCCAGTAATTGCCAATATTTTTATGGAAGACTTCACGACCCAAGAACTATCTTAGGAATGCTTTGGTGTTGTTTCAACCCAATTTGAAAAACCAATCCCAAGGGTTTCATCCCTCTGTTTATCGAAAACCCACACATACCAAACGTTTTTTGCATGTCAATTTTCATCATCCACCATCACAAATATATTCAGTCATTTATACGCTTGTCTCAAGATCAATACGCCTTTGCGATGATGCAATTAGACCCGTTGAGCTGTCGAGATTTAAACAAGCCCTCATCCAAAACGGTTAATGCAAAAATCACATCAATAGGAGCATCCACAGACATCAATCTTTCATTCAATCTCAACCAAAAGACTAAGACCCTCTTAGTCAACAAAAACTTACATCACTTTGTCCGATCAATCAAAATCAACATTCCAAATGAACAACACAGAGTTTATGAAATTCCTAGTGCAGACTACCCTCGATCTTATATAGGCCAAACCAATCGTAGAATTAAAAATCGGATTTATAAACATTATATTTCTGTTCGCAATTCCGATTCAATTTCAGCTTTAGGCCAACACCATCTTCATACGGTAACAAAATTGATTTTGAAAACTCCAGAACCATAACCTCCATCCGCTTCTATAAACCAAGAATTATCCGAGAAGCCACAGAAATTGAAAAAAAACCAAATTTTCTAAATAAAAGAGATGACGGCATCCGGTTACCTTGGTTGGTAAATCCGGCTAGCATCCTCCAGTCATTATTCCGCCCACCAGTAAAAATAGAGCGAAATTAATCACCAAACTATCGAAACAGTATCTGAAGGCAAGAAAAAGGGGAATTCTAATCTAGACAGGCATAGTAAGCCTATAAATAAATAAGTAAGAAGAAGAAGTATGAAGTAAGGTAAAAAATGATTAGCTATCAGGGTCTCTGGAACGCAACCTTATTCTTTTAAATTTACAAGTAAATTGTACAAAGTTTTTACCTTTGTGTAAATAAATATATAAGTATATATAAATACTAGTACCCACTTACTTTTAGTACGCTTTGCTGTAGCCCTGATTTATCTCTAGTTATAGTGATATGTGAAGCAAGTGGATGGGATGCTCTGGGTCGACTGTCCAATTCCGATAAGGCATTCTGGACCTTGTGCTTTGCTGCCTCTAGATATGTCAACATTGATTTCATCTAAAATAAAAATATACCACAATTAAAATTTGTTTCGGGTGTAATAAAAAACTGGATATGATACAAGAAACGTGTAAGATAGCTATTAGAAATAATTTTCTGCCTCTTCTTGAAGTGCCGTCTTCTATTGAATTTTGGGGATTACTCTGGAAAATCTATTTCTATCAACCCATATTTTAAAAACCAATAAATTATCTAATATGAAACTTGAACTCTTTCTGGTACCCACTCTTCTAAGTACCTCTTTATTGTTCATGAGACTGAGCTATGATATTTTCAACATTCTAGTAAGTAAATATCCAAATTTCTAAATGTATTTATCGTGTATCCAAATTATTCATTACTATCATGAAATACTGACTATCCATTTCTCAAACCCAAATAAAAACAAAGACTAATATAGGTATGGTGTGTTGCAATTAAGAATATTTCCGCTATTTCGAAAAAATAAAGATTTCAAATTCCCGATATTTTGCTTCGAGTTAAGGGTATCAGAAGTATAAGAAGTTTTCAGAACGAGACGAAGTCGAGTCCTGGAATCCCGCTAATCTCGTAAAATCACTTTTGGATCGTGTTATGATATTTTTTTCTGCAGGCGTTTATTATGTTAAAAAGAATGTAAATTGATACATACCTTTTGAGGAAAGCAATAACTTTTTGAAATATAGGCTTATATCTATATTATTTTTAATGTTAATTGTGGACTTATGCATTGACTAATTGTGTATTCAAATATTTTAATAAAATGAAATATTAAAAAAGGAAATTATTTTATTTTTATGGTAGGTTTAGTAGGCTTTTAGTAAATGGTCGGTATTTTTTATTATCATTATTAGTTGACATGTGGTAGCTTTGACCACTGCATTTTAAACATTCGTTCCACGTGCTTTTTAGAAGATCGTGTGTGCCATTAGTACCTACACTTTATACTTATTTATCTAAATCTTCATTAAATGTCTCTTTTACTATTGTTCTTATTTTTGTCTTTCAACGGTTGGACGTTGATTCTATAATGTTTTTATATCTTCTCGGGAAATCGACTGCTGTACATAGGTCATACGACAGACAATTAGCTTATTGTACATTAGTATTGCTTTTGATCGAACATAAATGTTAAAGAAGTATACGATTAGATCAAATATCGGCACTAAGACAGGTTTTGGCATTTTTTAAATTATTTTTGAATATACTTGCAGAATGGAACCGAATATTAGTTATTTCAATCAAATTAATTGCGAAAAATATGGTCCGCTGTACATTTTGGAGATGATTAAGTATGTAATATCTTGGGTGATGTTTGAATCGTGCATTTTCAATAACCATCGAACGATCTTGACAAAACTCAATTAGTTTATACTGCCAGAAATTCCTTGTGAAAATCATCTACAAAAATGTTAATATCATGTTACCTCCATTTCTTTATACCATGTATCTATGTTTTCTTTTTATCCGCTTCTCTTTATAAGTGACCGTCTTAGCAATATCAGTTCATAGTAGCATATTCAGATCATGGAAATTTCATAGAAACCTAAGAGGTTTATATCCATTTTGTTGAATACTACTCTTTAGTTTTCCTGAGTTACAGTGCGTTTTTACGTTCCAAGGCGTACGGCATAGCTAATATATATATATATATATATATATATATATAATATATAATATATATAAATATATATATATATATATATATATATATATATATAATATATATATATATATATATTATATATATATATATATATATATATATATATATATACTTCCTTATCTAACACACACTTAGATTAATATATTAATAATCTAAAACACATTTAGAATAATGTCTAATGCAGATAATATGTCATTATTCGATAGGAATAATTTTCAAAATATTCCTAAGGTAAATTGTAAAACAACAAATAACTTTTCTGTTATGACTTACATGATATAATTTTTCTATGACGCTCTGTTGGGAATCTTCGGATCCAAAGCTGGGCGTTTGCTGGATGGCCTTAGATAAATTTTCTAAACCTATTTTGGACTTCCTTTCCCTTTCCATGTCTTGCCTGATTAATTGAAGTAATTTCACAAGTGCCTATGAATATAAACATAATGTTAATAGTCTGGAAAAATATAGTACAATATTATTTATAAATTTTTTGTGGTGTTTGTGGTGTGGTGAGTAGTACCTACTCAAAGAATTACTCTAAACTATATCCACATAAATTATTTTAGTGTTCTGGTCGTAATGACATATTTAATAAGTTTTTTTAGTTTTATAACTATTTTGTAGTATTAACGTCATGCCAATTTTCTTCTATCTAAATTCAAAAAAAGTTTCACTAGATACTGTCAATTTTATTGATTTTAAATTACAAAAAATTAAAACCAAATTAAAAATTAACTTTTAAGGCTGTTTTCTCACACATATTTATAAGCAAGTATAAGAATGCTGTAACTATTGTTATATATATATATATATATATATATATATATATATATATATATACGTTAGCGTACCGTTAGGGATCTATGAGGAGTATCACGAGCGCAGCTCTTATCTCTTGCTGTACTGCTCCACCGCCTACCTCCAACCTATTGTTATATACTATATTTAAATAATTCAATTATTACGTGGTTGGCACTTAAACAAAGATTAAACTTTAATTTCTTGTTATATATTTATCATATTTTATCCTTAAATATGACGTTAATTTCTTGTTAATTTAGATTCTTATTATTATATTATTAAATACTTACTTGTTTCCGCCTTTCTCGATTCATAGCCAATGTGGTATGTTCGCAATAAAAATCTGGCAGTAATTGCTCCGAAACTTGTTGTGAACTGTGCCTGAGATTCTGGAACGTGACTAGGTCTTTGGTAGGGTCTGCTTGATTAACAGGACCTTTAAGCCTTTCGGATGCCTAAGTAGAAAAGATAAATTTACTTTAGATACTATATATATACATATATATATATATATATATATATATATATATATATATATATATATATATATATATACAGTGCTTTTCAGATAAAACTATCCACCTTAAATAACTTTTGAACCTCTAATTTTTTGGAAAAAACGAAAAAATACGTCAATTAATATCTGAAGGGGGAGACATAATTTTATATTAAAGGTTGCTGGAAAATGCACCCTCTCACCCCCTGTATCAACCCTTTATTTTTTTTAAATTACTTCCCCCTTTTTTGTTTTATATTTGGATTCTCCTTTTTGTTTTGATTTCAAAAATGTATAATACCTTTGGCTTGAAGTGATTAGTTTATCAGATAGACAATTTTTCTGTTAACAAGACAGTATCTCCCTCACCTTAATTGACTCTAACAAAATAAGTTGTAGCATAATTTAAACTCTTTAAATATTTAACCGTACTATTTGTAATACCTTTAAAAACCAAGAAACAAAAAAAATTCACTTTTTATTCAAGTTTTATCAAAGGTTTTCGATATCATTTTTATATTTGTTTTAATCTGTTAATAGCGACAATTTGTTATAACTTGTAAGTAACAGCTTATTTTGATACGTGTGCAATTTGATCGCTGAAATAGTGCACACTTTGCAAGAAAGAATCGAAATTGTAGGTTTATACTACAAAAATAATAATTGTGCAAGAGCTGTTGCTAGAATTTTTAATGAAACACACCACAATAGACATGCAACTCATAAGTGTGTGATTGAACTGATTCAGAAAAAATTAGATCAAGAGAGTCAGTTTGCAATAAAAAAACATAACCGACAGGAACTTGTAAATAAAAAAGCAATCCAAGTAGCTGTTTTAGGGCAAGTTAACTTAGACTCTTAACAATCACAGTCACTGTCAACAATAAGCAGAGCAATCGGTGTTTCATCTTCTACAGCCTTCCGAGTCCTCCATAAATTTAAGTTTTATCCATATAAAATTAAATTAGTACAAGAGTTAAATGAAGAAGATTTTGATCGTCGTCCCGAATGTTGCGAATTAATGATAAAATGCATCATTAACAATCCACAATTGTTAAACAATATTTGCTTCTCGGATGAATGCTCATTCTCATTAAACGGTTTGGTGAACAGATATAATTGCCGATACTGGGCTGAGAGTGATCCACATATTGTACGCGAATTTCACACACAGCATCCTCAAAGGTTAAACGTATGGTGTGGTATCATACGTAATTACATTATCGGACCCTTCTTTATCACTGGAAGCTTAAATGGTACATCGTATCTTGAATTATATAGGCAAGTGGTTGATTGTTAGAACAATAGTAGAAAATGATGATAACCTTTCCGATGATTTGGTTGTATTTCACCATGATGGAGCTTCTCCACACTTTGCTTTACCTGTGCGATAATTTTTAAACGAAACGTTTCCCGGTCCTTGGATAGGTAAAAGACGACAGATGATCGATTGGCCACCTAGGTCACCGGATTGAACACCCTAGACTTCTTCTTATGGGAGTATTTAAAAACAAAAATTATGCTACTCAACCAGAATATCTAGATGATTTACAACAAAGAATAGAGGATGAATGTCGACAATTAAATGCAGACGTGTTAAGCAATGTCAGAGAAGAATTTCAAAATATATTGTACTATTGTATGGAAGTGAAAGGCAGTCAGTTTGAACAATTATTGTAAAAATTTTTAGTAGTGAAATGTTTGTTCTAAATGTGTGTAATAAAATTGTTAAAAAATAATTTTTTTTCAATCCAATTTTCTTGCTTTTGTATTTACTTTTCTCATAAACTAATCACTTCAAGTATCATGTATTATACATTTCTGAAATCAGTACAAAAAGGAGAATCCAAATATAAAATAAAAAAAGGGGGAAGTAATTAAAAAAAAATAAAGGGTTGATACAGGGGGTGAGAGGGTGCATTTCCAGCAACCTTAAATATGATATTATGCCTCCCCCTTCAGATATTAATTAAAATGTTTTTGCGTTGTTCCAAAAACTTAGAGGTTCATAAGTTATTTAAGGTGGATAGTTTTATCTGAAAAGCACTGATGGGCGCTGATGGGAAAAAACCCTAACAGGAAAGGTGTTCAAAATTGGAAAGCGAAAACTAAGAATGAGCTGTCAAGCTGCATAGATCGAAAAGGTCTGCGTCAGTGCTATATTTGTATATTCACAATTATTTAGCCAGAGTTCGTCTTGGTTGTTAGTTCCTATGTCTCGAAGACATAAGATTTCATCATTATCATCATCTTAGTAATCATCATTACGACAGATCTACGTTTCGGATCCTATTTCTTCTAGTTATTTAAGAATAACCAGATTATAGTATATACAGTAAATATATGCTACATATATTTCCAGATATAAATCGATACTTTGTTATTAACGTAAGTTAAGTATAGTAATGAAACTATTTTTTAAAAAGCGCTAGAAACCTCTATAAGGTAGTGCGCTGATATTTAGATACCAAAAAGGATGTTTTAGTTCTTAATCAAACATCGTAGTTATCCTTGATAGGAATCTTATGTTGAATGCGCTGCTTAAAATATCCGATACAGTATATGTAGGGTAATGTCTACGAAAACAAACGACTCCTTTAAAAGTGTTTGTGTGTATTTTAAAAACACAACATATCTGTCTTTAAAGTAAAACTGTATGTACTTTTCTATACCAATATCAAACAATACACAACACACAAACATAATGACATCCCTTAAAAACAATTTTGTCTAGTTCTCAATCTTAAAACTAAATCCTGTTAAAACTTTTTTTTACCTCAATTAACCTGGGCCCCAAATCCCTGATATGATGTAAGTAAGAGCTAAGCACAGATTTTAGGTTTTTTAAGCGTTCTTCTTCTAGTGCCTGGAAGGTACTCGCACCACGTAATACTGCTGATTCCCATTCAAGTCTGAAAAAGATGAATCACTTTGTATATATACAAATTTTGAATAACAAATACATCCATCACTGATAGTTAAAAATCAAGTACGTTACGGAAAATTATCTTACGATATAAAATGGAATTATTTCACTAATTCGTTAACAAAACATACAGCTCAATGACTTCATTGATTTATTCTTCTCGTTTCGTGTCCATTTTGAGTTGTTAACTAATATTATGTCAACAATATCATGAAATCATTCTTTATCACCAGCCGCTCGAAATAGATCTTCCACCTGATCTAACGTAAAACCCGTCCCTTGTCTTTCGTTACGTAACTAACACAATCCATCGTCGTTCTACAACTTATCCCTAAATATTAAGTCACAGTAATTGGATCCTCTAACGATATAATCAAAGTAATCTCTATTTCTCATTGTTATTTGGTTTAGCAGTTCTCTCTCTGTATTCGTCATTTAAGCACCTCCTTTCCATTGGTAGTGTATGTCGTCCCCGATATCTTAAGAACTTAACGATAACACAAGAGCTCAAATTCGTTCAACCCATTTATTGTTCTTGCCTTTAAAGTCTTGGTTTCACCTAGGTATGGCTTTAAACCAACACCTAAATAAATTGCGGGATATCCCATTTTTGGAGAAAAATTTTTCTGGACTCACTGTTGGCGTTTAGTCGGCTCCCATAGTATGTAAAATGTTCTACCCTTTTAATAACTGCACGGTTCAGCACAAGTTGATTTGGACCTACATGTATTTTTACTACTGTCATTAATTTGGATTTCGTGATATTGATATTAAAACTTTCACGGCGACTTCCTGAGTTAAAAAGATGCACAAGTGTCTAAAGACAAATTAACTATTAATTTTTAATGATTTTTAACTACTAGATACTTTACTCTCTTAAGTTCTCAATGTTTTAAATGTATAAATAACCGTTGATAATTGTTACCTTGCTCTCTCAGCTCTCACGCAAAGTGAATAATACTCGATGTCGGACTTCTTCACAGCATCCTCTGCTTTTCGTTTTTTACCTTCCAACTGAAACAATTTAATCATGATAAAATTGAGCGATTCACGTGTTATTTACATGTGTGATACATTAAAGTATGGTATATTTATTGTGTAGTCTATTTGGTGTCTAGAAAAGGAGAACCTACTATCAAAAAAAAACTTTTATACCAGAGATAAAAAATTTGTAGTAAAATTTTACATGAATAAAATTAATGAGAAACGTTAAAAATAGTTAGTGTTGCTACAATTCCCATGGTTTATTCCCATTAAATAAAGTGCATATGGAATTTTATTACTCTGAAAGCGATTCCAGATGATAGATATACTTACTTTTGCGTTTTCCTTATCTGTGGAATGTTGTTTCATTTGAGCCAAATGAATTAGACTAGAACTTTTGGAAATCCTGAAAAAAAAAAATAAAATAATTTATAATAGGAATACTCAACTCTTCGACAATAAATGTCGGATTTTAGATGTTAAATATTGTATTTATATGGGATTAAACCCCAATTGATTGAAATGAAAATAGTTACATCTTATATTTGTTTTAAAGTTTCGATTTTCAGTTCGGAAATCATTTTGTAAATGTAAAATGTAATTTATTTATTCATTCATTACAATCAATTGTAGTTTAGTCGTATATAAATACAATATTTAATTTCAACATGCCACAAGAAAAACAGAAATATTTTAGATGTGCTCATATGGAAAAATAGGAGATATCATTATCACAAAAAATAAACAGAATTAATGAAAATCGACTAACTAGACAAATAATAAAAATTATAAACGAACAGGAAGAAGAGTTGCAAGACGCCCCTTGAAAAGTTGGAGCGAAGTTTGATGCCAACAAAAGTTTAAACTTACGAATGATAAAGATGATCAACACTGATTAAAATGTTGTCTTGTGTGAAAAAATATTCAAGACAAAAACATGAGAATTTTGGGGAATAATCGTCAACCCTTTATTTTTTATATTTTTACTGGACTGATAATCACGATGGAGATAACTAATATTGGAGACATCTTATGTAAGATCTGAATATAAAATAATAAAAAATAGATGGAAACGCAGAAGTTATCATCTTCACAGAATATGAAAATGATATTAAATTAATTTAATCTTTTGTGAAAATTCCCTGTAGAAAAACACTTACGTTTGTTTTCCGTATTTAGTAGTATCCAAAACGGCAGCATCTTGCAGTTTTTCGTTTTCCCTGGCACAAGAATGACTATGTTTTTTACCTTTTGCCTCACTAGCTCTCCAGTCCGACAACAACTTCGATGCCTTGTCCACCGAAGACTCCGACTGTTTCCTTATCCTAAAAATATTAAATTTCAATCAATTACAGCTATTTGTGAATTAAAACAAACGTATTTTTAATAAACACAATTAGATATTCTTTAAAAAATTGTATTTAATAAAAATTATATTTTATTGTGTTATGTAAATTATAATATTGTGTGTAAATTATAATTTTATTTTATTGTTTAATTTTAGACCTCCGTGTTACATTCACATATCTAAGTCCGGCTTATAATCATTTTACATTTTTTACTGATAATTTAAGATTTTCATCAAAATTACTTATCTTACAAATGTTTTGCTTATCTTATCCAATCGCTAAATGGGCATTACGAGAATGATTTCAAATTCAGTTTTAGGTGTATAATTTGCTGGGTTTAAATATTTCTAAGAACATTTTTACATGGATTGCATTCTATCCTGAACTATATTGATGGAGAAAATATTTATTGCAAACCTTAAGTAACTAAGTAGTAAACATTGTAAGTACAATATATTGATATACAAACTAGATTTAAAAAAAGTTCTATAACGTATATCGCAAAAGTTCTGGCACAAAATAATTAACGATTTTTTTAATGAAAAAAATTATTTAAATACGTACAGTTATTATAAATAAACTCAATACTTAACTAAACTGTGAAAATCTTAAACTGTTCCTGTTGAAAAATTTTTTCGTCGAAAAATCCGTCCAGCGAGGCAGTGCGCCCTTACCCCATCAATGCTACCATACAACGAGAAAATGCCATTCTCTCCGAGAGCTCCGAGACAAGCGTAGGTAGAACTCGATAGCCGCTTCTCCCGTGAAGATATATGGCAGAGCAGCTGGAATTGGCTGCTCTCACCTGGAGAAGATGACGGCAGATAGGCACAGAGCGTGCCAACTCATGGCAACGATACAATTACACGTTGCGATTGATGAGCGTAATAGTCTATGAACAAATTTTACAGGATAAGGCCGTTGGGATAGGACTCTTTGCTAATTTGCGGATTAAGCATGGTGTGCTTGTGTCTTTGTGTATTTTGTGTTTGCGTGTATGTCATCTTGATTCAAATCTTCAGTTTATTACATAGATAGTGTCTCTGTGTTTGTAGTTGATCCAGGTATTTTTTCTTGTTTTACCTTGGATGAGAAGTATGAGAAGGCCCACCCAGTCTGTCCTGCGTGTAGTCCTATTCGGTTTAAAATTCCCCCCGAAAATTTCCTTTCACACAAAAGAAAAATAAGCAGAACCTGTTTGTTTACTTTTCTTTGCTTAAGTATTCCGTAAAATTGAGTACAATATATAATAATATTTTTTATTTTTTTTTTACTTATTTAAAATATATCTTCACAGTTCTAATTAACATTGACGCACTCTGCACTTCTTGAATTGTAAAGTTTTTAAAAGTGGTTTACTATTTGTGTTTATTTTGAAAGTAACTACTTCATATCTCTATTTTTAACAGTTTTTTAAGTAATTATTAGTTTCTCTTTTCAGCACTTGCTGTTTTTTTATTTATATTATAAATGTATTGTCAACAATTATTAAAGACCCAAAGTGCTTTTTCGATTTTCTCGGGAGCCGTTTACTATCAAAATTGGAGGATACGTCAAAAGTGATTTAATAGTTGCCGTATTTCATTTGACAAATAACGTGACCCTTGGTAACGGCTATGTTTATTTTATTCAAAATATATTTTAATTATTATTTCATTGAGGATGTTTATTTTTTGACATTGTGTCAAATCAATAAAGTGGTTGATAAACAGCAACTTAATCTAGAGAAAAAAAATTATTTAAACGGAACGGAATCATATTTTAGGGATTCATATTTAAGTTACACAATTTCATTTTCAGATTTTGACAGATCTATCCTTCCTATCTATGTCTCCCATGTCCACAAATTTTTGCTATTTTTAATACAATTTGTGTTATTTTATTTTTATATCACCTTGTTTTGCCTGAAAAGGTTCTGAAATAATAAACTTTTTTGAAAACGATTTTCAGAGAGGAAATCGAAACGCCAAACAACAATTATAAAATTTAATTTCAATTACAACTAATTGTTGCTTAATCCCATATAAAATATATTATTTAGCAGAATTGTTTAACAATTTTAATAACTTGCTAAGATCGAGAATATCGCTTTTTTATACTCGAGATTTTTACTTGTACAAAGTAATTAACTTAAATGTCAAGTAGATAATTAAATAAACCGGATTCAAATGATTTAAATTTTTAAATTTTAACTGATTGTTTTAAGAAGCACTAAAATAGACATTAATTAATATTTATTTGTAAATTTTGCTTAAGTGGTAATTTTGTTTTCAAAAAGATATAAAATTTAAACAGTTTATAGAAAACGTTTAAATCAGTATTATTATTATTAAGTTTTGTCGTAGGCATATAAATAATAGAAATACTTTGGCGATTAAACAGTATAAAATTGTATGTCTACAATTTATAATTGGGGCAATGAAAGGTAATCAAAATAAAAACTTTAAATAAAGCAATTATAATAAATGTAGTATTTATGTTTTAAGTCGATCTTAAAGACTTATGATCAGCACTTCTAATCGCAATTTTTTAAACAAAAAATAAAACCAAGTGAGTTTACAAGTAATACTTACCTCTGTTGGCTTTCCGTGAGATTTTTTAAAGGTTTGGCAGTTTCTTCTAAAAGTGCCACACCGAGTAACCGGTGAGCTTCGGCCTTCGTCTCTAGTTCTAAAGCTACAGCTTTCCACGATTCGTTCAAGCCACCAACTCCTTCTCGACAGGCGCGAGAGAGCTTGGTGCTCAATTTTGAAAGGCTTTTGGCGTATTGGGTTTCAGCTTCAGCTCTAAAAGAGTAAAACGGTTAGGTTTATGTTTATAAGAGTTTTATATTAAACTTGTAACATTTATAGTCAAAAAAATACATGAATAACTAAAAAAATGCTGTTCAAATGCAATATAGGAGAAAAAAAATACGAAACAACAAAGCTTATGCATTTAAATACTGTAAAGCTTACAATTATAATAATTAAAACACCGTTAATAAAGATTAAAAAAGAATGCATAAAAGCCACAAGAACTGGTTCGTATTATACGATTAAGTGAAATAGAAGATTAAAAAGCCAAAAATAGTTTTTAAAAACAATTTATTTTAAGATGAACACGAATAAAAAAATGATGTAAAAACCAAAAATAACTAATCAAGAATATATTATATTTGTATGTGCCTTTACAGGTTAGACTATGTACATGACGTGAAGTTAGGTTTATTTTATTTTGGTTCGGTAGTTATTTTTATTGCAATATACTTGATATTTACCATTTATCGCAAATAGATATTCTATAATAGTGTTAAAATGTATCTACTAACCTTTCTTGTAAAATCTGCGATAATTCTTTACAGAAATCCCCACCTTGCTTGACATACCTTCGCAAATCTTCAAAACCATTCTGCCCCTGAAAAAAAAAAGAAAATAATATTAGTACTAAAATTATAAAAAATAACTATTTCATATATTTACAAGGAAAGATTATAAAAATTTTAAAAAGCAGAAAAGTTATTGAACTAGGTAATTATGTGACAGGTATGCGGCAACGTCGAAGTGATCGAAGAAATAAAATATTTATTTTTATCTTCATTATAATAAACCCGAAAATCGAGATTTATAACGAGAAGTAATTAAATATAAATGCATTACAGGGTCTAAAACAGTTGCTTGAACCGTTAAAGTTAGTCGATTTTAAACCTGAATTTTTATAGAAATCATCTTCAAAAATCATTGATTTAAAGTTTTATGTTTACCATCCTACCATTGTATACTTAATCCTATACATCTATTCCGGTTCTAATTAAAAACTATTTGTTTCGTGGAAATATGTTTTCGCCAAATTCTTCTGTACTTAATGTATTAAGACATACATTTAACGATATACAGAGTGGCCCAAAAGTCTGGAAACGGCCAATTATCTCGTAAATTGCTAGTTATAATTGTACAAAATTTGAGATACACCTATTTTGGGATACGGAGATTCCATATTTGATATTTGCAATGTTGCCAGATTTGCCGTTTCTCTGATATTATTAGTAACTTTGGTTTTTCAAATGCATCAACCTGTATATTCAGTCATTATTAGAATCTTCTATTCAATACGAGTTCAACTATATGTAACACTTTTAATTTTTTATAGTCTGGAAGGTCTTAAATACATAAAACAGAAGTCTGACAACGGCTAATTGTTTCAATAAATTTTTTGATATTAATTATTTTCAACTACATTCTTCTTCTCTCTTCTTCAGCCTGTTTGCATCCACTCCTGGACAAAGGCCTCCCCATGAGTTCTCCACTCTTCCCTGTTTTGTGCTATTTGGTGCCAGTTTCTCCCCATTTTTGCTTTGATGTCGTCTATCCATCGTTTTTGTGGTCTTCCTCTACTCCGACTGTGTTCGCGTGGTCTCCAATGTACAATGTTTTTCGTCCATCTGTCGTTGTTTTGCCGTGCCACGTGCCCTACCCAGTTCCATTTCATTTGTGCAATCCTTCCAATTACATCTTCCACCTTCGTCCTGCTTCGTATGTCCTCGTTTCGTATATGTTCTCTTAGTGATACTCCCAACATAGCTCGTTCGATGGCCCTCTGTGTTGTTCTTAATCTGTTGGCTGACAACTCTGTAAGTGTCATGGTCTCCATTCCATAAGTCATGACCGGTAGAATACAACTGTTGAATACCCTTTTCTTTAGATTTATTGGTATCTTTTTGTTCTTCAACACATCACTGAGTCTGCCTACTGCTGCCCAAGTCATTCGGATTCTTCTAGTTATCTCTGCTGTTTGATTCTGTTTGCCTAGTTTGATGGTGTGACCTAGGTATATATACTCTTCGACACTTTCGATCTCACTTCCATCTAAGTCGATTGTGATATTTTGATTTGTCATTACTTTTGTTTTATTTAAATTCATTTTTAAACCGATTTTTTCAGATTCTTGTTTAAGCTCCTTCAGCATGTAGATTAGTTCCTCTGTATTGTTGCTTATGAGTACTATGTCATCGGCAAATCTTAGATGGCTTAAAAACCTGCCATCAATTTTAATTCCGAGTTGTTCCCAATTTAACTTCTTGAACACATCTTCTAATGCAAGAGTAAATAATTTTGGAGATATGGTGTCTCCCTGTCGAACACCTCTTTCTGATCTTATTTTGTTTGTTGTTAGGCCTTCTGCTACATTTATTTGCATAGTTGCATTGTCGTATATGTATTTTAGGAGCATTCTATATCTGGAATCTATCCTTGCGTTATTCATTCCGTCTAATACCGCCCAGAATTCTATGGAATCGAATGCCTTATTGTAATCCACAAATGCCAAATGAAGAGGTTCATTGTATTCGTTACATTTTTCAATAAGTGTCCTTATTGTCTGTAGGTGTTCTATTGTACTATAACCTTTGCGGAAACCCGCTTGTTCAACAGGCTGGTAACTATCAAATTTGTTTGATAGTCTGTTGGTAATTATTTTGGTAAGCAGTTTGTATGGATGTGGTAACAGGCTTATTGGTCTGTAATTTTCGAGTTTGTGTTTGTCTCCTTTCTTGTGTAGTAAAAGTACCTGCGCGTTTTGCCAAGAGGTTGGAATAGCACCCCCGAATAGGCACTTGTTCAGTAAGATTTTAACTGCCTCCATAGTAGTTTGACCTCCAGCTGTAATCATCTCTTTTGTTATTCCGTCGTCTCCAGGAGATTTTCCATTTTTCATTTGCTTTAAGGCATTTACAACTTCCTCGGTAGTAATTTCTGGTAGTGTTTCAGATCCTACATTTAGTATTCTTCGTTCCATATCATGGGTTTCAGGTTTTGCTACGCTGGACGAGTATAATTCTGTATAATAATCTTCGACAATGTTTATTATCTGATTTTTGTCGTTTCTAATGATTCCATTTTTATCCTTTATTTGGTGTATTTGTTGTCGGCCTTTGCTATTTAGCGTTTTTAACACTTTCATATTCTCAACTACATTAAAACGTAACAATTGATAGATTAGACCATTTTTTAACAATAGTTACGTTATTAAGTGTTCCAAATGTGCTCAATTTGTGAGTTGACAGTACCCTAATCGACGGTAGAATGCGTCTACCACATTTCTCCATGATTGTCTAGAAATTATTTGAGATAAATCGATAATTCGTTGCCTTTCCTCTGCAAGACTTGGCTGGTTAAGTTTTGTAAACTGAATTTTTCAAGTATCTCTAATAAAAATAATATTTAGGATTGAAATCGGGTGAACGTGGAGGCCATTCAATTCTACCTTATCTACCAATTTATCGTACGGAAAATATCTAAATAACGCCGAACATTTACACCAACTATATGACGTTAAATTTCCTTCGATAAAAAATGTCCCAATTGACTGAGTATACCTGACTATACTGACTATACCTGACGATACATTTAATTTTTGTGGTCTGGTATGGTTTTCACGCATTCAGTGTGAATTTCATACGAGTTCAACTATTCAATACTTCGATCTTAGATTAGAGTTTACTAAGGCAACGATGGATAAAATTGAAAATTATTAAAATTTCGTTAACAGAATATGTTTTGCAATAAAGCAATCTTTACACTGTGTGGAAGTATAAGTCGACACAATTTAAGGTACTGGAGTGACGCAAATTCACACTGAATGCGTCAAATCCATACTCAATGACCACAAAAATTAAATGTATCGTCAGGTATAGTAGGTACTCAGTCAATTGGGAAATTTTTTATCGAAAAAAATTTAACGTCGGATAGTTGGCGTAAATGTTTGCGTTATTTAGATGAGATATTTCCCGGACGATAAATTGGTAGACAAGGTAAAATTGAATGGCCTCCACGTTCACCCGATTTCAATCATAAAAATTATTTTTATTAGGATACTTGACAAATTCAGTATACAAAACTTAACCAGCAAGTCTTACAGAGCTAAGACAACGAATTATCGATGAATCTCGAATTGTTTCTAAACCATCATGGAGAAATGTGATAGACGCATTCTACCATCGATTAGGGTACTGTCAACTCATAAATTGAGCACATTTTGAACACTTAATTACGTAACTATTGTTAAAAAATGTTCTAATCTATCAATTGTTAAGTTTTAATGTAGTTGAAAATAATTAATATTAAAAAATTTATTGAAACAATTACGCGTTGCCAGACTTGTGTTTTATGTATTTAAGACCTTTCAGACTACATAAAATCATAAGTGTTACATATGGTTGAACTCGTATTGAATAGGAGATTAAAATAAAATAAGGAGAGAAAAAACCAAAGTTACTAATAATATATATATATATATATATATATATATATATATATATATATATATATATATATATATATATATATATATAGAGGACTTTTTATTATAAACAGTTAGTCTAAAAAAATAATTGTATCGAGTCGAGGTTGAATTGTAATGCGGGAAATAAATGTAATAAAGAAATTATATAAATTAGAAAGTGTCAGTTGAAAATAAATTAGTGTAAGATTATATAAACTAAATAAATAAAAACTCTAATAAACAAAGTGTTGGAGAATTTTATAATAAATAAAGTCAATAAATTAGATTTATAAAAAAAGTTCAGTCGTGTCAGAGTGAAATATAGTTTAAATAAATTGTGAAAATGACTACGATTTATGAGCTCACAAAACAATTTACTGTTTGTATTTTGAGAACGATTTCCGAAGTGGAAATTGAAACGTCAATAAACGTATTTTTACCTTTAATTGTGGCTTATTACCAGTTAAATAGTAATTAATTTAAAATGCCACAAGAAAATAGCTTCAGAACAATAATAATTTGTAATGGTTTATAATATTTTTTACAATTTTTGTATAATTTACACCCATTAATAATTAGAAAGTTTAAATATAATAAAAATAGTAAAAAACAGCAAAAATATTGTTGATCATTGTTAAACATGTTAAATTTTAAATAATATATAAAAACTAACATTTAAAAGACATTATCGTTACCGTTCCTTGGAATTACGATGTAAAAACCTCCAGTTATTGATTTGGTTATACAGTAAGAACTAAGAGCTTAATATAAAAGATACCATGTTTAATGTTGCTTTAATATGAAGCAACCTACGACTATTATAATACCTCCAATCCAGGTGTCAGCGATTTACAATGTTTTCAAAGGTATCGCCGCCATTTGTCACACCTACTCGATTGTCTCCTATCGTGATAAATCCAATATTTATAGCTATATAAATAGTAGCAGAACTTATATTAATTGCAGTGGAGCATTGGGCTTTGTCATACTAAAGATACGGCGAAATGTAAATATCGGTCAGTCATTCACCTTCTTTTCCAATATAGGATGGTGATATTGTTTGAGAAAAAAATAAAGACACACCTTTAGAACAAATTGTATTCCATAAATAATTGTTTGTTTAAAATGTTAACTTGTTTGGTGGCGTGTGCTTCCTTATTCATACTTCCTGTTGCTTATGATTAAATTAAGCAATATTTACTATATATATATATATATATATAATATATATATATATATATATATATTATATATATATATATATATATATATACGGACTATTTTTAGTTCCTATATGGAATTTTAAACAATATAGAATTATAGAAACTACATAGTTACTCAACATAAAGCAAACTCATTTAAATATATATATATATATATATATATATATATATATATATATATATATATATATATACAACAGGACGGTTTATTCTTCGTCCAGTCAAAATGGTTGCTTCAATAATATTTTCGGTGATACTTTTAATGACCAAATGTGTTGAACGGAAGATTGTGTGGTGGCATGCCTGGATTTGCATGGATGGCAATCTCTAGAGAATTTAAATATTCTGTTGGATAGTTTACGGTCTCGTCTTCATTAAGAATACTGTCGATTAATGTAAAAGATATCAGATAATACTTGGTAACAACTGTCGAATCTGGAATTCATTTTGCCAACATAAAAATTTTCGACACCAATGTTGCGCGCTCACTGAGCCAATTATGATTCAAGTAATTATTAAGTATAGCCGGGAAGACACTTACAATTAATAATTCATGTTTTAGTCAATAGTAAATAGTAATTTTAAAATGCACAGAATAATCAATATCTGGGGCATATTCAAATGTCAGAGGAACAAATGATATACGTGTAAATGTGCAGTTGATTCCGTTTTTCTCATTCTGGATGTACTTAGTTAAATGCTGCTCACATGCAGCCATTGTTCTTAATATATTCTGTCATACACGTTGGCCACGATGGGCGTGAGATTCTTGTGCACGGTTCTCTTTTGACCTCATTCTCTGATCCTCATTTATTTGAGTAGTTTGTTCGCCCGACCTATTAACCCTTGAAATTCGTTTACGTTGCGGCTTGGCTACATGCTTTGTTGAGGTGGTTAGGTATATATATATATATATATATATATATATATATATATATATATATATATATATACATAAATATACATATATACATATATACATATATATATATATATATATATATATATATATAATATATAATATATATAATATATAAAACTTTTAAAATATAAAAATATAAAGATTATGCTAGACATGCATGAATCACCCTGTACATTTAAATTTTTGTTTACATAGTGCACATTTGAATTTAGTTGGAAGCTAAAAGTTTATAGGTGCCAGCGTTTTTATAATTTTCTAAAATAAGGACACAAATTATTTTATTCTGGACGTGCATGATGCAGTTCGTTGAGATTAGACTGTTAAGGTTTTAAAAATATAAAAATATATAGGGTGTTTCAATAAAAATAAAGATTATGGGCTATGCTAGTCTATCGAGAATTACCCTGTATACTTATTACCCATAGTTTTTTAAAATAAGAACACAAAATTTTTGTTCCATTAGTGGTTTCCATACTTTATAATGTAATGTTCTATTTTTGTCTTTACTACGGCGATGTCTTTCTAGCTTTAAAAATTAGGTATCTACATAAGGAATATATTATAAAAATATGTGTACACATAGATAATACACTTATCATGTTTGACTGTATATTTTTTTTACTTCTATGGTATCATTATTTGAATTGGTAAAATTTTGTTGCGTCATGTAAATTTGTTAATCTTGATTATATGTGTAGTATCTGCATTTTGTATTTAGTTGAATTTACAAAATGTTGACGTTTTTATATATCTATAGTTTTCTAAATATCTTTAAGGGTACATTTTCGCCAACAAACATATGCACACAAACATTAGCAAGCATTTGCTAACATTTGCCAATACACGTTTGGCACAGTTTGTTAAAAACTGTGTTTTTGCGAACACTTTCCCTGGTGATGCGTATGAAAATATTCAAAATATTTTAGATATAGTAGAGTATACTTTGTTTATCAGCTGTTTACAATTATTTTTCTCCTTTGAATTTAACTGCTATCAACCAGTTTTCTGTATAATATATATATATATATATATTATATATATATATATAATATATATATGTATATAATATATAATATATATATATATATATATATATATATATATAATATATATATATATATGTATATAATATATAATATATATATATATATATATATATATATATACCGGGTAGTGAATCGCCTAACGGGCCATAGGAAATTCTAAATTGTTGAATTCCTGCTTCCCTAATTATTTAACATCAATAAGAAACTATTTGAAGAGGACTGAAATAATATGTATTAAAAACAAATGTTAAAATTGTTCTACGAGTTAAAGGTATTCCAAAATTTTGTAAAAATATAATACGTTTTTCAGGCCACCCCTTAAAATCAAGCCACACGAGGTACAAGAATATGTATGACATGTTGCGTTTGGTCATATTGATGTTTCTGATATTTGACAATATTTGAATTGTCAATAATTTTATTTCGTGATTAAATTATACACAAATACTAAAATACCCAAATTTTTACAAGTACTACTACTACTAGCGTAGTGTTGTTTACAAAGCAATAAAATTGATGAAATGTATTCAGTTCATATGAACGGAATTTATTCTTTTTCAAAATTTTTAACGCCGAAAAATTATGAATATTAACCTGGTCTGCAATGGTCCGAGAACTTATTCTAGGATTTTCTACAACTGCTGAATTTCTACAAACTCTACATTTATTTCATTTTGTTTTTCTAATTTTTTTGGTACCTCAGCAATATTGTTTGTTCAGGTACAATTAGAAATCAATGTCCCATTAGCTACAAAATTTTGTAAAATCCTTTGAATTGTTGAATGAGTTTGAATTGGTCTATTGAAATATCTTACGCTAAATAAAGAACTGACAATTCGCGCACTAATGCCCGAATAAAACATTTTTATTATTGCTAGTGTCTCCTCAACGAAATACATTTTTTAATCAACTATATTGTTTTTTAAACAATAAATCACAAAATTAAAATTTTGGAAATTCAAATATTGTCAAATATCAGAAACATAAATATGACCAAACGTAACATGTCATACACATTCTTGTACCTTGTGTGGCCTGAATTTAAGGCCACACGAGGCCATTGTGTGATCTACAAATAGTTTTTTATGACTTTTGATGTAAAATAATTAGGAAAGCAGGAATTCAACTGCCAAATACTTTACCCTGCATAACGAGTTGAAGAATTCGATATTTTTCTTCGTTCCGCATCACGTGGCCGAGGTACTCAAGTTTACGTTGTTCCATTAAATTAAATACTTTGTCATGCACTGCAGGACTTCAACGTTGGTGACATGGTCCACATACGATATTTTTAGTATCTTCCTGTAGATCCACATCCCGAAGGCTTCAATCCGTTTTTCAGTGATTTGCGTCAGTGTCCAGGCTTCAACTCCATATAATAATACTTGAATAATGGGTAATAAATAAATAAATAAATAGGTTAGTGAATTTGTCGACTCTGAATCTCTTCGCTACCTGCCAATAGAATCTGGACTTGCACGGCTGACAACCATGAATTTAGTGCTCTTAATAATAAGGTCTATTCACTCGGATTCTCATCTCTAGGATTGTGAGGGCTTCAGTAAAAATTTCCTCGAGTTTATATTGAAGAGAGTCGGCGAGAGCACACAACCTTGCTCTACTCGTCGCATGATCTTTACTTGGTCGGTCAGCTGGTCTTCGACCTTGACTTAGCACGCTGGTTCCAGTATAAATTCATGATGATCCAAATGTCCTTCTCATCCAATCCTACTCTCTGTAGGATTCGGACAACGGTCAAGGTCAAATGCTTTGGCGTAGTCAATAAAACAAATATAAACATCACAACTGGCATCGCGGTATCTCTGAAGTACGACTATTTTCCCGGTATGAATCCGCGTTAAAAAGTTTTGGTTTTTTAAAAACCATTGTTTCGGTGACGTTTCGGCAAGGTCACACTTGCCATTGTCAAGTCAGATTAGTTCTGCTTCTTCTTAATGTTCCATATATATATATATATATATATATATATATATATATATATATATATATAGAGCATTAAGAAGAAGCAGAACTAATCTGACTTGACAATGTCAACATTCAACTTGTTCTGGGTCGTCCTCGTATTTCATTCATTATCATTCATTCGTTCAATAATACATTCGATAAACGATGAAATAGAAAATTAAAAAACTGAAATGATCGTATTATATATGGAGAACTAACATGTTACCAGAACTGCTTTCTGAATTGTTGCCAAGAATTGTGTTACCCCTTTTTTGTAACATTATTATCATACGACATTAAACATAATTGATTTCAAAAATTACGGTATCTCTTTATTACTAAACCCTAATAATATACGAAACATGGAAAAGAAAGTCCACCGATACGGTAAAGTACCTAGAATTTCGTGAATCCACTTTACTGATAATTCGAAACACTTAAAGACCCGTCCAATGACAATTAAAAACACATCACATCAGCTAACACTAACACATTTTCTTAACAATTTGTTCGTGTTTAAATGAATTGTAACACAGAAGATATTATTAGTGTTCAAAAATATGTTCACATTTAAAATTTTGTGTCTACTAGTTACAATTTTACAAGCTTTTAGTGATGTTAGTGAATCGAAACATAAACACGATGATGACTGCTATAAACCACCTAAATTGAAGGATTTTGGGGATTACAATCCATTTTTTAGCACCAAAGGAAAAAAGAGAGAAGGTAAATATGGAAAGAAGCACTACGAAGAGCACAATTCTTATTTGTCACCATGGATGTTTTTAAGTCCACCACCTCAATATCCTTATGAAGGGGAACAAATGGTTAATTCATATCAAAACGAACCAATCATATACCCCTATCGAGGCGAACAACCAATGTACCAGTACGAAAGAGAAGAACCCGGACCAGTGTATGGACGTCAAAACGAGTACTATCAACAGTTTCCTCCTAGATTTAACAGCGATGAATACACCGAAGACGAAGAGTATGTTCCACCTAAGTATCGCGAAAATCATAGTAGGGAAGAAACTTGTGGTGTGTCTTTTAAAGTAACTGAGCTAATAGTTAATGGTGATGAATTTGAGGATGGTACATATCCTTGGTTAGTTGCTCTGTTTGTGTTGCGAAATAATCGGTTAAATTATATATGTGGTGGTACCCTGGTGTCCCATAAACACATTATAACAGCTGGGCACTGCATAGTTCGTAATCGTGAACCAACTCAAGCGAAGGACTTAATGGTGTCGCTAGGAAAATGCAGTATTAAAAACTTGCCATTATCAGATCCAAGTGTTTATAATATTGGAACAGTTCACGTTCATCCAGGATATAAATATCTGTCGTCAGATGGAGATATATCCATTTTGGTACTAAAAGACAACGTTCAGTATACCCGACTGATAAGACCAGCTTGCCTTTGGAATCGAGACAACAACTTGCAAAATATAGTAGGAATTAATGGGATCGTTGCTGGATGGGGAAGGAATGAAAATGGCACTCTTTCTATGAACCGACCAAGGGCTGTCAAGGTACCAATAGTATCACAAGAAACATGCTTAAGGAGCAACCCTCAGTACAACTCCATAACTTCGCAAAGAACTTTCTGTGCGGGTACCCCTGATGCAGGACCGTGCAATGGAGACAGTGGTAGTGGTCTAGTCATAGAGCGATACGGCAAGTGGATGTTGAGGGGAATAGTTTCTTTATCTTTAAGTACCGGTGTGCCTGTCAACGGTTGTGATTTAAGTTTTTACATAGTTTTTACAGATGCCAGTAAGTATTTATCGTGGATAAACGATATTATGAGGGAATAAATGTATATAAGATATTAAACACTAAAAGTAATTTTTGTTTGATTTATATAGAAGAGATTACAGTTATTTATATTATATTTAATGTGGGATAGTAAGGGTTTAATGAATTGAGTTTATGTCGAATATCGCTGAAATATAGCTTATTATAATTTTATAATAAACCTTACACTGTCTTCTATAACTGATTTTCTTCTACCGATTCTATTTTTTTTTTTCATTTTTATTTATTAAACCTCTAAGGTGTTTTATTTTTCACCTATTAATTGTTTTTTACAATGCGATCTACGAAAGTGAAATATGTCATTTTTTTACATGCATGCAAATATGTTTATAAATTTAAAAATGATTTTCTACATGCATGCAAAACACGAAATTTTAACGAACTATATTTAATGGAAATACTGGTTATTTATTGCATCAGTAAATTAATATTTTTGTTCCACTTATCTATTATTCTACTACAACCTTTTGTGATCATGGCAAACATAAATATTCAAACCGATGCAATATTTAGTCCAGTTTCTTTTCGATTTTATTGGGTTTTAAACATTTATATTTTATTAAAAATCTCATTTATTTCTATAATTGCCAATTATAAACACAAACTGAGCAAGTACATTCACTTGCTCAGGGATATTATCATTTTAAAAATACAACTTCACTTTAAACAGCCTCAGTTAAAAATTAATTCTAGCAATTATATAATTTCAAGTTTTAAAATAAATAATAGAATTAAAAAAAAATGATAGTTGTCAAGAAGAAATAGCAAAGCATCAATAAAATTATTGCACAGTAAATCAAGGAAATAGTATGAAAGAAGTTACGATCATTTTAATGAGAAATGCTTTGATAAAAAAAATTGTAAATTTTACAGAAAATTTTGCTAGCTCCTAGAAGTTTTGATAGGTAATTTGGATGAATATTTTTTACCAAAACTAAATCTCAGCGCCGAAACATATTAACTCAATCCGAGAACCAATAATTACCCGGAGAAACGTTTAATAAATACTATGAAGAATTGAATAAAATAGTACAACTGTAATTTTTGAACATACGAGGATATTAAAAAGAGATAAAATAGTCAGTGTAGTCAGTGGGGTGAAAGAACAAACAATGAGAGATTGACCTTTGACTGAAGATAATCTCTAGATTTGAATACAGCTACGTGGAGCTATAAAATGCTGCAAGAGGATCTAAAATCAATAGGTAATAATGAAGAGAGTTCAATGGAATTTGTGTAATCAAACGGTCAACTAGAATAGAAGAAGGAAAAAAGAACCCCAGATATATTTATTAAATAAAGTGAAGGGTGCCGAGGTTTGTACAATGTCATAAATGTCATAAAAAATAAGTAGTCAGCTTCTTGTAAAGCATTTAGACTTCATGTTATTGAAAGTAAACAGACTACCTACAGGTTCACATGTATACGTATTTCCTGAGTATATTTATAAAAAATCAAATTCAAAACAACACAAGAGCTTGGTACTTGGGTACTTGCGTGACCGACAGAAGTGAATACATCTTATGGCAGAAAAGAGAAGTTCTCTCTCCGGTTGCTGACCAGAATGTAGCTTCCACTATTTTTTAAATAATTTTAAACTGTTTGTCCTTGTTTAGTGTAGTGTTATGTTCAATTTTATGTTTAATTTTAAGTTTATGACATTGCATTTGTTGGATAGCATACAGTTTGACGAAATGCCCCTGAAGATGATCTAGGAAGCGAAAGTACTTGGGCAAGATTTAATCAATGAAACAGAAAATAAAAATTAACCAAATTAATCCAGTCATTTTCGAGTTCGTTCCAAACAATTTATTTTTTGGTTATAGTGGTAATTAATTAAATGTATCAGGATTCTATAAGTTAAAGATATTTGTAAAAAACAATTTATTTTTAAAATTTAGTATAATTAATAAGTCGTCTCCAATTTTATGCATAAATGCAGTACAAGACTTAAATTTGAGCATTAGAAGTAATAATAAAATTAGTTGTACAGAAACAGACATAGATTTGAAATATAATAATTTGTTCAATGTTTCAGAATAAACTAACATCAATAAGTAGAATTATTTAAAAAAAAGTTATACAAGAATGAAACTGTAGATAGATAAAAAAATTATGGGATTTAACCATAATTTATTATAATGCAAATTACATTTTATAATTTTTATTTGACGTTTCGATTTCCACTCCGGAGATCGTTTTCAAAAAAATGCCTTTAAATAAGTATTAATAATATATAATATATTATTTTCGACATTGATGGATGACTTACTTAACAGTCTATGTAGGAAAAATCATTGATTTCACGTAAAAATCTTATACAGATATTTGAAGCTTCTAAAAGGTATTTGAGGGGTAGCTTTAAAAAATCCGCGAAGACCTACAGCTGCTTTTGCTTTATTTTTGTTTTAAATAATCTTTAAAAATAAAAAATAATTTGTTTACTATAAAACGTTTTGTGCAATTGAAGATCTTAAAATGTTTTTCAAATTGCGAGTTTCTAAATTAAAAGTATACATAAAAATTCACCAAGATAGAAAAAGAAACTTAATTTTGCAGTAATTTATAAATATGTACTATTATTATTCAAAATTGTGGCAGTTATTAAAGTGTGCTAAATTTCAAATAAATCGACCAAATAGTTTATAAGCTATTCAATTTGTTTATCCTAGAGAGCGATTATTTAAACAACTGTACTTGCCAAGACAGTCACTCTAGAGGTATTTTCTAAATCGTAATCGTTTTTTTTGAGGATTTATTTTTAATGTATATTCAAAAACTTCAACATCATATTAGATTTGCTATTAAAAAGCAGTTTAAAAAAGGGCTGATTTTTAGCTTCTAAACATTTATAATAACGTTGACATTTTTTATATCACACGCTTGAAGGTAAACTAAATGAAAAGCGGATAAAAAAACATATTAAAAAAAATCAGAACCTCCTATTACCATTAAAAAACAAGATAGAATTTTTTTGATAATATCTAATATCTTAATCACATTAAGAGCTGAAACTTAAACAGATTGTAAATAAAAATCTAAATTTAATAATTCAATTTATAGAGTTCATACACAGTTAAGAAATAAAAATGTATAACCCAGTGATGGAATTCATAAAATATCGCCACGGAAAAATGAAGAGAAATGTCCGCTGCACTATCTTGGCTTGTTCTTTCTAATTGGTCGCAGAAGGATTTGTTTTGTTTTTTGTAAAGTGTGTTTTTTCACCTAATTTTCATTGAGGCCTACTTACAACGGTGTAACATAAAAAATATCAAAGTATTATTATTGAACAAGAAACACATTTATAAATGTCTAGTTTTCTAAACTAATAATCTAAAAGTAATAATAATCTAAAAGTTTTGGCTTCGCATTTGATGATAGAAGTAAGTCGGTTATGTTTTTTATGTAAAACTGAGTACTATGCAATTTTTATCCAAAGCAGTTACATTACGTTTTATTGTTTCTTTCTATTCAGTATTCGTTCTTAATATTAACATACCAGCATATATTCATCAGTTTCTTAATTTTTTTTAAATTGTTTCTTTGATTTTGATGGAAATACGCCGAAATAGCCGAACAAGAAGTCTAAACATTTAATAAGTTTATTAAACAGAGTCGACACAATAAACTAATTGAAATATATCAATCATGAATTTCATTTTTTAATTGTTTAATGCCTATAATGCCCCTTTTATCATTTGATTCGTCATCTTTAACACGTAATGCATTAACAATAAAGAAATTTAATTGGAGACATCAAGTGCACTTATTAAACAGAATGACTTAACGTAGAATGCCAAAGGTTAAGAAAGTTAAAAGACTTTAGTGAGTAAGTCACTTTAGCCTACTATCATTCGTTTAATCATAATAAGTTGTTATACATAGTTGGGTAGTTAGGTGTTTCTTATTATTATTATCAACTACAAACAATATACTGTAACATTTACGACAGTAACAAAAAATGCTATAAACGTTTCTAGTTATATACTCATTACTCATGGACAAAAATATCGAATATTTTGGAATTTAATAATTTTTGTCTTTCGAAAATAAAATCTGGTCAATCAAGACTTTTATTGTGAAGAAAGAGTATATTTCAAAAATGTTTAATGCACAATTTTAAGTTTTTATGAGGTTAAAATTGCGAAAAAAAGAATGCTTAATAATAGGTAAATAATATTATTTTACTCTAAACTTAAATGATAAATTTTGAATTGCTTAAACAAGTCTTTTAAACTGAAAGAAGTGCATGATCAGTATCGGCGTTTTAGCTGATCCCACATGTGCGCTATTGGATTTAACCTTCTAATACTGACGTGTACTTTCTGGAACATAACTACGGATGTGGTACCATGGAAACCCCATGTAATTTCTATTTAGTATTGCCAACATTTTTTAAAAATATAACTAATTATATTCAATATAATTCCTTTGATATATTTTACATTAGTGTATTAATTTTTTTATAATATTTTTCCAAATTGTTAGTTATGAAACATATTACAAATAACATGTCAAAATATAAGAAATAATGAAACGGTTTACTAAACTAATAGTTATAAAAAATTAAAGATTAACTAAACAAAATAAACCAAAAAATAAACCCCCCTTATAAAAAACTACAACACACCTACTTTAGTTATTTTTGAAATCAAATTATATATTCAGATAAAAAGTTACTTTGCACATTCTTTACAAATATTAGCTCTACAGTTATCACACATTGATGTCTTACAAACATCACATGAATTTTTAGTCTTTTTTCGTGGATAGACCCCACATCTTTTTCGGTTTTGGTTCATATCGGGATGCAAGTTTTCATCAATTATTGGTTTGTTCAGTATTCTACTGACGTTCTTTCTAAATTCTCTTGGAAGTCTTTTGTTGATAATTCTTCTATTTAAATGTTTAACGAGTTGTTTAGCGAGCAGCTTCACAAATTCTGCCCGTAGTATGTTATTTGTTTATAGATACCTATGGTGTAGTATATATGAAT